GGGAGAGGGAGAAGCAGGCTTCCCGCTGAGCGGGGAGCCCGATGCGGGGCTCGATCCCAGGACCCCGGGATCATGACCTGAGCCGAAGGCAGCGGCTTAACCGACTGAGCCACCCAGGCGCTCCTCTCTCTTTCTTTTTAAAGTAAGCTCTTGGGGCGCCTGGGTGGCTCAGTTGGTTGGGCGTCTGCCTTTGGCTCAGGTCGTGATCCCAGGGTCCAGGGATCGAGCCCCGCATCCAGCTCCGTGCTTCTCCATCTCCTCTGCCCCTCCTCCCTGCCTATGCTCTCTCTCTCGCACACTCTATCTCTCTTAAATAAATGAATAAAACCCTAAAAAGAAAGAAAAAGTAAGGTCTATGCCCAACATGGGGCTTGAATTCACCACCCCAAGACCAAGAGTCGCACGCTCTACCAACTGAGTCAGCCAAGCACCCCCTAATGGAGAGATTTCTGATTAAACATGGCAGATCAATTCCAAAAATGACTTCCTCTCCTTCCCTAAATGCACTAAAATAACAGTAAAGGAAAAAAAGACATATAAATCCACAAAGACAATAAGAACAGAAGAGAAAAACTTAAGAGAATCCAATTTTAAAGTAAAATTTTTTTTAAAGATTTTATTTATTTATTTGACAGAGAGGGAGAGAGCGCGCACAAGCAGGGGGAGCAGGAGAGGGAGAAGCAGGCTTCCCGCCCAGCAGGGAGCCTGATGCGGGGCTCGATCCCAGGACCCTGAGATCATGACCCGAGCTGAAGGCAGACGCTTAAACGACTGAGCCACCCAGGCGCCCCTAAAGTAAATTTTTGCCAAAGAGATAACAGAGGAAAAGTGGGATCTGATATTGCAGACGGAAGGCACAACATAAGTGCCCACCGAAAGGACGCCAATGAGAATTGACCTGATTTACCCCCTGCAACTCCTAGAAGATGCAGGTTCTGGAAGTGCCATTTATCACAGAATATTGGGCTGAGGCATGGAACTAAAGACTGAGAAATTACTACATGTCTATATACAGACTAGTCTCCCATGCCCCCACACTCCAAAAGCAGCCAAGTGACCTCCCCACACATACCTGACCCAGACCACAGTAGGTTTATTCCCTCGAGAACTGAATAGGCATGGCTCTGGATTAGAATACACCAGACACAGCAGAGGGAGGGGACAGACACAGCCTCCCTCTCTTGCCTTTCTCCCATAATGTCAGAAGCTAGAGATAAACCCTCCAGATAGGAGCCTGGAGGATTTTTCTCTGGAGATCCTAAACAACTCCAGAGAAAAGACTTACAGATGCTGACGTGTAGAGAATCCCCTATAAGAAGGCTGACTTGTGGACAAATTATTCTGAAGTGAAGCCAGTGGTTTGCTAAAACTGGCTGAGTGGAGCTCATAAAAGCCAACTGATTATATGCATTTCTTCACAATCTTAAATTCACTAACATGTGGATAGCTTAAAACAGGGCATATTGGGAATATTTACACCATAGAAATTATGAAATGTTAAGAATTAGGGTCTTTTTTTTTTTTTTAAAGATTTTATTTATTTATTTGACAAAGAGAGCGAGAGCAGGAACACAAGCAGGGGGAGTGGGAGAGGGAGAAGTGGGCTTCCTGCCGAGCAGGGAGCCCGATGTGGGACTCGATCCCAGGACCCTGGGATCATGACCTGAACCGAAGTCAGACACTTAATGACTGAGCCACCCAGGCGCCCAAAAATTAGGGTCTTTCTCTCCAGAGTTGGTCGCTAAACATTTACCAGTACATTACTGAATGAAGCCCATCAGTAAGTTCTGCTTGAAATCAGTTATTTATTTGTTTATTTTAACAATAAAGATTTTTTTTAAGGTTTTATTTATTTATTTGACAGAGAGAGACACAGCGAGAGGGGGAGTGGGGGAAGGGGAGTGGGAGAAGGAGAAGCAGGCTACCTGCTGAGCAGGGAGCCTGACACAGGGCTCGATCCCAGGACCCTGGGATCATGACCCAAGCCAAAGGCGGTCACTTAATGACTGAGCCACCCAGGCGCCCCTCAAATCAGTTTTCTAGTGGCTCAGTCTTTAAGAACAGATAGTCAAGAACACCAAACATGTGAAGAAAATCTCCAACACTAAAAAGAAAATAAACAAACCAAAGGAGAAAAAAGGGACCCAGAAGACACTAAGATAATGCAGGGAAAAGAAGAAAATGTCAAAAAATGTAATTCCTCAGAGAGAAAGGTAAGAAAAGATATTGTAACCATAAAATAATAACAGAGTGGCTTAGGGATAAAACAGACCAATTAGAGGCACCTGGCTGGCTCAGTCAGTACCTTGTGCAATTCTTGATCTCAGGTTGTGAGTTTGAGCCCCACGCTGGGTGTAGAGATTACTTACAAAATCAAATCTTAAAAAAAAAAAAAAAAAAAAAAAAGGACAAACTAGTCAACAAGAAAACCTCATGGGCATTAAAATTTTTATGCCAAAAAAAACCCCAAAAAACCT